AGGATTTATTCAGCAAAATTTTGTGGTGACGTCATAAATTTTTTAGGGGGGACGACCAAATACATTTTGATCAAAAATTTGCCATGCTTATGATAATTTTAAAATATCTTCAAGATTTCGAAGCATTCGGTTTTGTAGTTCCTGAGTAAATCAGTAAAATAAATTTACGCTTTCATTTATTTTCTTGAATCACCCTGTATATGCAAATCCAAAAAATATGAATGGAGTGATAGGTCACAAGTACAGACTGATCATATTTTGTACATTTTAGATATGATTTATTCGGCAAATTTTCGAGCTGACGTCATCAAGTTTTTGGAGGGGATAAGCAAATATATTTTGACTAAACATTTATTATGCTCTTTATAACCTTCAAACATCTGCAAGATGTCAGAGCATTCCGTTTTGTAGTTCCTGATTAAATCAATAAAATATATTTACGCACTCATTAATTTTTTTGAGTCACTCTGTATATGCAAATCCAAAAAATATTAATGGAGTGATAAATGACAAGTACAGGCTCATCATATTTTGTACATTTTAGATATGATTTATTCGGCAAACTTTCGAACTGACGTCATCAAGTTTTTGGAGGGGATAAGCAAATATATTTTGACTAAACATTTATTATGCTCTTTATGACCTTAAAACATCTGCAAGATTTCAGAGCATTCGGTTTTGTAGTTCCTGATTAAATCAATAAAATATATTTACGCATTCATTAATTTTTTTGAGTCACCCTGTATATGCAAATCCAAAAAATATGAATGGAGTGATAGATCACAAGTACAGACTCATCATATTTTGTACATTTTAGATATGATTTATTCCACAAACTTTTGAGCTGACGTCATCAAGTTTTTGGAGGGGGTAAGCAAATATTTTTTGACTAAAGATTTATGATGCTCTTTATAGCCTTAAAACATCTGCAACATTTCAAAGCATTCTGGTTAGCAGATTAAAAATTAAATTTCAAAATGTTGTTTTATAATTTTGATTTTTTTTCCAAAAATCTGGACGTTTCGGGTGAAAAGTCGATTCGGAGTTGTAAACTACATGTGTAGGACTATGTTATTTTATACAATTGAAAACCCATTTACTATGTACAATTTTGAAGTGACGTCATCGCATTAGTGGTGGGGATGATTAGACAAATTTTGGTTAGCGTTTTACCATCTACATGATATTCTTAATATAAGTACAAAATTTCACAACAATCGGTCGAGTACTTTCGGAGATTATCTGTCTAATAAAAATCCGGGGGCAGACGGACAGACGGACAGACGGACGGACAGACGGACGGACGGACAGACGGACAGACAGACGGAAATGGGAGACCTATTTCTTCGTCTTCTAGGGGTCATGAAAGATCGAGAAAACGTAAAAGTAGAGAGTCGGCCGACGGACTCGATTACAATACTTCCTTTGCTTACGCTCGGGAAGTAAAAAGTACATGTTTGTAAAAATATGTTGACACAATAAACGCAACTGCTCGCTCAGTTGAAGTTATTGGTTAAATAAATAAAAAATTGGTCGAAGATTATTTCGTCGGAACTTCCCTCGTCCTTAAAGTACATCCAGCTATTTTTCGAAAAATTATAATTATAATATAATTTTTTAAGATAAGCTTTATAGGTTAGATATGGATGTAATGTTCAAGTAAATGTAAAGAAGAGTGCTAGGCGTACGTTCCTAATGAGTTTTCCCTTAAGAAAATTTTGTGATGACGTTAGCAACATTTTTGCAAAGACACGTAGGTATATCACTTTGGATAAGTGCAGTGCAATACTAATGATAACAGAATTGTACATTTTTCCAAATTTTAAGGAAAATAGAGCGAGCCGTATAAGAAATTTAAAAACTTTTAATGCAATGATAAAGCACAAGTATAGATTCATCATATTTTGCACATATTGGATAGGATTTTTTCGGCAAAATTTTGAGATGACGTCATCACTCATCAGTTTTTTGGGAGGGGGTAAACGATTAATTTTGCTTCACGATGTACCACGATTACAATAACCTTAAAATATTTACAAGATTTCAGAGTAATCGGTTTTGCAGGTTCAAAGTTATAATGCAAAATATAGTTATTAAGTTTTGAATTTTTTCCAAAAATTTTGGATGTCTAGGGTGAAAATTAAACACGGATTCACATACCGCGGGAGCAATGAATTTTATGAAATTTAAGAAAATTTTTAATTATAAACTTTAGAGGCGACGTCGTCCCATTGGTGGTGAGGATGATTAAGTATCCAAATTTTAGTTCATGTTTAACCATCTACATGATATTCCTAATATACAAACAAAATGTGACAACAATCGGTAAAGTAGGTTCGGAGATAAAATTGGATACAGACGCCAGACAGATAGACAGACGGAAACGGAAGACCACTTTTTTCGTACACGTCGAGAAAATATGAAAATTCGGCCGATGGACTCAATTACTATACTTCCTTAGCTCGGGAAGTAAAAATGCGCAAAATTATGAATTAATTACCAATAAACTATACAGTGAGTTTTTTTAAGTGGCTATAGGGACTCGTATTTCCTATTGTTCAAAATTTATTAAAATTAAGATGACATTTCATTTTTGCATGACAATTCTGCAGTCGAATTCAATGACGACACGATTTACATTTAACTTTTGTCTTTATCTTTTTCTAAAAAGAAAAATGTCAGTTTAAATTTTTTGATAAGAAGGCTGGTGGGGTTGTTGAAACGATATCATGTTACGTAGACGACAGATCAACATAAAATGAAACATCTTTCACAGCAATACGATTTTCGACTATTTTCTTTTTGTTTCTTTTTTTTTCATTTTAAATCGTCTGAAATAGGAGTTATTAGATTTCACAATCATAGCCCTGCTTTACTATCAAAATTTGACTTATTAGGCCACAAAATTCCATGACTTTTATTTCCTCGCAGTTTTTAGGTAAAATAATGTGTAATGATGGACATGATCATAATGGCTTCTGAAATTTATTGTGTTTTATTCACAAGTCATAATAAATTGTGCTGCAAGTGGCTCAAAACTGAAAAAATATACTGATCGCAGTATATATGGCAAAAATAAGCTTAGTACATCATTCTAATAGTGTTAATTAAAAAAAGTAAAGCAAACGGACTTTGGTTTCAGAACTGCCCATATTTTCATTAACGATGTAACCACGCTTATAATTACTTTAAAAGGTCTGCAAGATTTCAAAAATATTCAGTTTTGCAATTCTTGATTTAATCAATAAAAAAATTGAATCAGTCATTATTTTTTTTAGACACCCTGTATAAGCAAATCTAAAAAATATTAATGTAGTGATAAATAAATCACAAGTATACAGAGACAGTATATGTAGACTCATCATATTTTGGACATTTAAATAGGATTTATTCAGCATTATTTTGAGGTAACGTCATCAATTTTTTAGTGGGGATGAGTAAATACATTTTGATCAAAAATTTACCATGCTTATGATAATTTTAAAACATCTCCAAGAAATCAAAGCATCCGGTTTTGCAGTTCCTAAAAATAAGCAATAAAATTAATTCACGCATTCATTAATTTTTTGGGCTATTCTGTGTATGAATGGAATGATAAATCACAAGTACAGACTGATCATATTTTGGACATTTTAAATGGAATATGTTTGGCAAAATTATGAGCTGAGATCATCATTTTTTTGGAGGGGATAAGCAAATATATTTTGTTTAAAATTTTATCATGGTTATCATAATTTTAAAACATCTGCAAGATTTCAAAGCATTCGTTTTTGCAGATTCAAAATCTAATATATAAAATTCTCGTGTCACAGTGTTTGTAACCAAACTCCTCCGAAACGGCTTCACCGATTCTTATGAAATTTTTTGTGTATATTCGGTAGGTCTGCGAATAGGTCGTTAACTATTTTTTATAGCCCCAAGTGATAAGGTTGGCCCACCCAAGACATTTTTGTTTATTTTTTGGACAACATTTTTTATTTTTATTTTTTTAAGATTTGGAACCAAAAAATACATATAACCCTAAATTTTCACCCTCCTACCACTAACCCCCATTTTTTAATAACGATATTAGTATCTTTACTTTCATCCACAGATGCGCAGTAGGGTTGCAAGATGGCTGTTGAATATAATCATTGTCGTACGATAATTTTTTATGTATACCTAATTTATAATTTAATTTAAATATAATTTATTTATTTATTTTAATTTAATTTTTTATTTAACTACCAAAATATTCACTAGAAATAATTTATATAGCAAAACAACGTTTGCCGGGTCAGCTAGTTAAATTACAAAATATTGTTTTATAATTTTGATTTTTTTTTCAAAAATCTGGACGTTTCCGGTAAAAATTCAACAGTGTCATAAACGATCTGTATAGAAAATAGGACTATGTTATTTTATACAATTTAAAACCCATCTACTATGTACAATTTTGAAGTGATGTCATCACATCATTGGTGGGGATGATTAAACAAATTTTTGTGAGCGTTTTACTCTGCATGATGTTCCTAATACAAATACCAAATCTGACAACAATCGACCCAGTACTTTCAGAGAGAGAGAGAAAGAGAGACGCAGAGAGACGGAAACGGGGTACCTATTTCTTCGTACCTACTGTAGGGATCATGAAACATCGAGAAAACGTAAAAATAGAGAATCCGTCCATGGACTCGATTACAATACTTCCCGAGCGTAAGCGAAATGCAATGTGTAAATAAATTGGATATGTTTATTTACTATTTATTTACCTCTATTTCCCAATAATAATTATTTAGATTAGACAGTCATTTTCTCACATGTCGCGTCTATTGTTTTATTGGTTTACTTTCAGTATGCGCAATTTCACTATTTAAAAATGATTTTTTTTTAATTTAGGCATTTGTTAGTATTATCGATATACACTTTCAAAGAACTTTTGCAGTTCTTTCACATCATTCAAACAATTTGTGATTTTAAAAACTTCAAAATTCGACAAATAGTCCGTAAAAACTATTACACTGTAGTACAGTAAACTCACTTGACATATACCTTGTAAAACTTGTATGACTTAAGCGGCTGAAGCCAAACCACCCTTATAAGTCAAACTGACTATTGTAAGCTGTATGGACCCGAACTGCAAGGATTATTACTGTCCATTCTTGCCATAATGGAGCTGTGAACTAAGTTAAGTTATACAATAGCCAGTTTGACTTATAAGGGTGATTTGGCTTAAGCCGCTTAAGTTATAAAAGTTTTACAAGGTGTATGTCAAATGAGATTAGTGTAGCTTTCTCCACACTGCTTTTAAATTAGTGAATCTTTGGTTAAAATTATCGAGGTAACCTGCCTTCTTATAGAACCTGGATCTATACTGATTCAATATCTTTGAGCGTAGCCCTCACCACAGAACACTCACCCCTCACGACCCTAACCTTACTTTTTTCGAACGTCAAATACCTATTAAGTTTAAGTATTCGTTCAGATACTGTCCTCTCCATAGACTGGTATCCCTCAAAACACAAATATGAGTGAAGCCACCAATAACCAAAACCTCTGTAACTGCTCCAACGGAATGCAAACGAAATTGAAAATTCTTGCTATACACGGTTACCGACAAAATGCAGACACTTTCAGGCAGAAAACCGGTTCATTTCGAAAAATGGTACATAAATGGGCACAATTCACATATATAACAGCACCACATAAAGTCATTTTAATAGACGACATGAATCAAGTTGATGATCAAGACATCGGTCAAAGTAAAGATGAAGGTTAGTGTACTATCCAAATCGCTTTCCTCAGACTCATCTCACCTTTTTGTAGAGCAGTATGGTTGGTTTTTCAACAGAGATGACCGAACTTTTCGAGGAATACGAAAAGGAGGACCAGCTATAGGTTTTGAAGATAGTGTAAAATTGATCGAAGATGTGTTTGAGAAAGAGGGGCCTTTTGATGGAATTTTTGGATTTTCACAGGGAGCTTGTTTTGTAGGATTGTTGTGTGATTTACAACAGCGGGGATGTATGTAATTATAATAGATTTTATATAATTTTATATTTTAGTTTTTAGTACTTAGATGTAAGTTCGACTTTGCCATAATGGCTGCTGGATTTAAATCTGGAAGTTTACCACATATGAAGTACTATAGTGAATCTATTTCAATACCGTCGCTACATATTTTTGGTGAAACTGATAAAATCATTCCAACTGGTAAGATAAAGATTTGTGTTTTAAAAATTATGGTTTGTTATATTTGTGTTTTAGAAATGAGTGAAGCCCTTAGCGATGCTTTTGTTGAGCCAGAAATAGTTAAACATCCTGGGGGACATTATGTACCTGCATCAGCCCCTCAAAAATACGCATACCAAAGTTTTTTTAAAACTAGGTATTTACAGAGTGTAGAAGTTGTAGAAGATCAATGAAAAAAATAGTATATAGAGGTTATTGTCAATTGTTCTTTAATATTTTCTTAATTTAAAGACCTTTTCCTTTTCTTACAAATAAATTAATACAATATTTGGAATTTTAAATTTGTATTAGTGGTACTCAGTCGATATTACAGATGTGCATGTTACCGACAATGCCATCGATTGTTTTGTTTCCTGCTGATTATGACACATGTCACAAAAACGATGTTGTTCATAACTTAATCTATGAAATTTGTTAGAAATCGTGGTATAAATTACCAAAAAATACGTTTATTTACAACTTAAGGAACAGGTAATACACCAACATCGATGTTTGTCTTCATTTACAATACTAACTGACTATGGTGATGAAATTGTTTTAGTGAGGTTATAATAATTGAATTTTAGTCCAGAAAGCCTTTGTTTATACTTAAATTATAATTCGTTACCTACTGGAAAAACCCATTACCGATTTATTCGGGGGTGTCGGCCCCATGAACCTTTTCATCGCGTATCAACATCATTGTAGGCATAGGCAAACACGGAAGCACGAAGTGAAATGCCAGCTGCTGTAGGTGGCATTAACCACTCAACAACTAATGAAGAATGTGGCATACGAGATGTCTGGGCGCACAATTTAGAAGAAGAATTCCGAACAATTAGACAGGTTGTAACGCTTTTACTTGCTTTAAAGCCTAACTTATTCTTGTAGATTGTCCAAAAATATCACTATGTAGCAATGGATACAGAATTTCCGGGGGTCGTGGCTCGCCCTATAGGAGAATTCAAAAGTTCAGCAGACTATCAGTACCAAATGCTAAGATGTAATGTGGACCTCCTCCGAATTATCCAACTAGGTCTCACTTTTTTGGATGACAATGGCAAGACACCAGGGGGCTCATACACCACTTGGCAGTTTAACTTCAAGTTTAATTTGCAGTAAGTGGACCCTGATGTGTATTTGTTTTTACAAAATTTTTGTTCTTTCAGAGAAGACATGTATGCCCAAGATAGCATAGATCTGCTTACAAACTCAGGAATCCAGTTCAAAAAACACGAGGATGAAGGAATCGAGCCACTGGATTTTGCTGAATTGCTGATGACATCAGGCATAGTGCTAATGGACAACATCAAGTGGCTTTCCTTCCATTCTGGTTACGATTTTGGATATTTAATAAAATTGTTAACTGATAACCACTTGCCACAGGACGAGAATGAGTTTTTTGAGCTGCTAAAATTGTATTTTCCTGCCATCTATGATGTCAAAGTATGTGTGAATTCATATGTGATTGCAGAGTTCAATTTTCATTTTTAGTACCTCATGAAATCTTGTAAAAACTTGAAAGGCGGGCTACAAGAAGTGGCTGAACAGCTAGATCTGGAAAGAATAGGTCCACAACATCAAGCCGGTTCTGATTCATTACTAACGGGAATGGCTTTCTTCAAAATGAAGGAAATGTTTTTTGAGGATACAATAGATGATTCAAAGTTTTCGGGACATTTGTACGGGCTGGGTACCTCGTTTGCTGTCAATGGAACTTCAAACAATTATGCATCAGATAATGGAGAAAATACCAATTCATGAAATTGTGCTTTATTTACTATTCAATTCTTTATTTTACTTTTTCATCAGGATTATGTAAATAAGATCGTCTGGCTTTTTTTGTATTGTTTTATAATTTGCCACGATATTATTTAGTAAGGAAAACAGTTTAATAATGAATGTACTAATTTTTATTCTTAATTAAATAGGGTTTTTCTACTTCGGCTTTGATTTACATATCTACCACTTAAAAGGCACTTCAATAAATTTAGTTACCACACCTGCAATTAAAGATGTGGGAATGTGCAGTAAGAACGTTGTGGTCATTTCAGTTTAAAATTTTTTATGTATTGAAATAGGGCCACATGTTATTAATAAAATTCCATAAACCATAGCTTTTTTATGGAAAAATGTTATTTTTATTGATTATGATACAGTGAATTTTCGTATCAATTTGCTATAACATTAACAAAGTTATCGAAGACTATTTCTATAATAAACGATTTGTCATGATCATTCAAATTGATTTGTGATTTAGTTCGAACAGTAGAGCCAACCGATAAATTTTGAACTGTCAAAACCAAATGTCAGCCTAAACCGAATAACGTTTATCACAGTTTGCGTTGTTAATTTTGTGTTAATTTCATAAGTGTGTGTTAAAATTTTGAGTAATACCCTTAAATAGTCGTAGATAATTGCATGGTTAGATTTGAGCCTTGTGAATATCGATGACCTTCGGTCTGGAAAACATTCGCTATAAGGTTAGTCAATTGTTTCTTTACTAATAATACCTATGCAATATTTTGAAATTCAGTTTATCCCCGACAGTGTGTGGTAAATAAAAAAATACTTACTTCCAATTAGTTAAGTCAGTCACAAAATTACTTGAAATATTTTCAACGTAATCGCTATTGTTCATGGTTTAGAGTTTTTATAGTACAAGCAAAAGATAATAGGATACTCAACAATTCTTAAGTGTATGCATATTTTTGCAAGTAGAATGTAGGTAATGTGCGATATGTCTCTAACTTATTATTAAATTATTTATTCTGGCTATTATTAGTTATCAGGTTATCACCAACACTGTATGATAAGTCATGTTAATTGTTTTTTATTTTCATTGTTCCAGCATCGAGAGCAAAAATTTAATTATTGCGGGCCTTTTGTGTAAAATGGCTTACATGTGATCAGAAATACATAGATTGTTGTATGTAGTATGTGCATTTATCACCAAATTAATTATATACCATGTTTATTCATTAATAAGTGAAATAATTGTATTTTTTTTTTAGTCCTAATAAATACCACAAGAATAATAAAAAACACATCAAAGACAGACATGGATTTCTGAAAGTTTGTCTTTGATTGGTCAATGCATTTTCAACTCAAAACGGTAATCTGAGGTTTCTGAAAGGACGAACATTCTATCAAAGACAAATCTTCGAAAATCGATGGCAGTCTTTGATCTCGTTTTTTATCGCTTGGTAGGAGGTATGTAAACGAAATTTGTTCTGGAAAGTCGTGACCCCTCGAAATAGCCCCGACAAAATAACCGCGTCAAAAAGGCCCCGATGAAATAGCCCAACGACAATATAACCCACTGTCAAATTAGCCCAGTATGAAATTTTGTAGACAGAAAAAGAAATTATTATTCATTTTTATTTCACAAAGTGCAACTGCTGACTATTGACAAAAAACACAGAACATTATTTAATAAATAACTAATTCCTACAAAATGATAACTTATAATTTAAATGGTACCTATACCTAATATGTATTATAAAACATAAGCAACGAATGCTAATTAGAGCTGTCAAATCAAGGTTTTGTTGAATAAATATCATAGGAAAACTTCCAAACTAAAAAAAATTATTAGTAAAATAATATTTTACCACACGAAAATATAAAGTCAGAATTATTTTGTTTAAAGAATATTGGGTATATAGAACAAAGTGGATTGGTAGGTTTAAAGCAACCCTTTCTTGGGGGTGGTTTACACAAAGTAAATTATACCTAGATTATGGGAACAGGTAAATGCTTTAGAAATCTGCATAAACAGGTCAGCTCTTGTTCGAATCCCAGATCATTTTAAAACCAGCCTTTATAATACGAGATTTTCAAAATTTGGATTATAATTTATTTTTTTTTTTTAAATAAGGAATAAAACGATAATTATTATTGGGCGCAGTTGAACGCACGTTCTGCGTCCTTTTGTTTCCATGTTGTTGCATTATATTAAAGATGGGTCAAATGTGCACACAATCTATTTAAATTCAATATCATAAATGCACATATTACGGAGTTTAACTACAAGAACAATCTGAATGTGAAAACAACCCTAATCCATGTGGTTTATATACAGTTAGTATGCAACACACAATGTACCACTTTCAAGGTTCGGTTTCTTTCACCCCTGTTCCTGCATTACTTTAAACAAATTTATATTTTCTTAATTTTTTTTTATAAATGGAGAGTAGTTCAAGCAGTGCCATTGGCAAAATTGATCCTCGCTGTAAACTGTACCGGCCGCCAGCCGCTGTGTAGTTTTCTACAATTTGAACTTCATTTCATATTTCAAACCGGAAGTGTGCAAGTATTTCAAATTCTATAAGATTATATAACACCAGTAAAACTATAATAAAGTAATTAAAAGTAACGGTTTTTTTGGAGCCATCTCTAGAATGGATGAAAAGACTAACAAATATTTTTTTTCATTTGAATCAATTTATCTGGGACCAGATTTGCAGCACGTGACAGGGGTCGAGAATATTTGCAACTATGGATTTACCCACACACTTCCGGCTCAAAATTACTACCTGCCTAATCATGTTTTTCGATAAGAATTTATTTTCAATTATAATATAACAAGTGATATGATTATTATCGATAATATTTCGAGTGAAACCGAGCTGCAGATTCAACGAGTGCGAAGCACGAGTTGAATGTTCTGCTTCGGTTTCACGAGCCATATCTTCGATTATTAATCATATCACGAGTTATATTCAACATGAGAATATAATAAATGAACATATTTTTTGATAATAGAATTGATTTCGTCGTTTTGAGCTTGCCACCAACGTTGGCAAGCCATAATAGACAAAAAAATTTATGAAATTCTAAAATTTGTCAAATTTGACAGTTTTTAAATTTAGGTAGCAACAGACCACAATAAAATAAAATTATTATCGCTGTGATAGACATGTAACTAAGGGCATGGACAAATTCTATTGGAAGAAATAGGGTCATGTGATCCATGAATTATATTCTCATTGGAAAATACATAGTTTCGGACTTTCATGTTCTGTTGTAAAAGGATTAAAAAACTAAAATTTCCATTGAAGAAACAAACCGTTCTAAGAAAATGAACCAAATACCTTGGTAAATTGAACTATAGTAAGACCGCTCCTGAACGACCACCTCGCCTTTATTCAATCACACTTGACCTGACCTGTTCAAGTACTAAACAAAAAATCTTTGAGCAATAAAAAACTGCAAATAGTGGAAATTATTTATAAAATATGCAGCAAATACCAAATATGCAGTAGTATGTAATGTGCGAATATGCCTCTACTTACAAAATAGCTAAAATAACAATTACTTAATTGAAAACAGAAATAATAAAAAAAATGTGTACAAGTTACAAGTTGATATGTCTAATAGTTTGGAATATGAAAACGTACTCTTGCCCGTCCGCAATCATAACTGTGTCAGGAACTTTAATAGGTAATATAGATATAATCAGACTATACCAGACTTCAAAAGACCAAAAATGCGGTTTTTGATTTTTGGTAAACTATGATGTTTAATAATGAATAGCATATGTAAATATTTTTTGTGATATTTTTGCTCCGTTGTAAAGGTTTTTAAATATTGGGCTTTTTTGACTGAGCTATTTTATCATGAAGCTATTCTATCGAAGCTATATTGTAGTGAAGCTATTTTGTCAGGACGATTTTGTCGGGGTACCGTTAGTATGATGATAACAAAATTGTAATTGGTTTCTTTGTATCAGCTCTAGTTTACAAGATATTAAAAAATCATTTTAGAGAAATGTTACTTTTTTATTATTCTGCATAGAGAAACTGTCCTTTACGTGAGTGCGGTTGGCCCGGATACAATCTCGCAATTTCGTAGCAATGGTCTGCCACGATATGCTCGTCCCATCTTCCTTGGCAATGTTTTGATATCTTGGTGGAATTGCTCAGGTTCCCAAGATAAAGAAAATACTTTAGATGTCCGTCTAAGTAGTGTACTTTTAGCTCAACGCCTTAACGAGCTAAGTTGCACCGAAACTAATGACTTCAAACGAAAATTGGTCCTTATTTGTTCTCCCCCTCCTTGTAGGTGGCTGGGGGGGAACTTTGAAATCTTAAATAGGAATCCCGATTTTTTATTACAGATTCGGATTCTACGGCTAAAAGTACATAGGGTTTGTCTAAAACATTTTTTTTGTATTCATGACAGATGATACCGGCGCTACGCTGTAATAAACGAAATTCAATTTTTTTCGATGCCTGGTACTGAGCACCTATGCATATAATTCTGCAGTAAAAAATACCACGTTTTCATTATAAATAATCAAAAATGAGTCGTCACAGTAGCGAAGGCAACTTGAATGGTGAAATGTACCGAGACGTTTTGGAAAATGAACTGCTAACATTACTTGAAAACTTGAGGTTAGAGCTGATAGGCTAAATTGTCCTGCCAGATTACCAGATCTTAGTTCGCCAGATTTCTTTTTGTGGGGCTATCTGAAACACAAAGTTTACAAACAAGAACCAACAACCCATCAGAATATGTCTGAGCGAAGCAGAAATGCTTGTGACGAAATTCAAGCAGACACATGTCTCAGTGTACATTCAAATACATGTGCACATAAAGATGATGAGGCGAGGAGACTCATGTAAATTAAGCACCCTGACAAGTGAGAGGCTCACATAAATGAAGCAGCCTGATAGGTGAGAGACGAGGGAACTCGCCCAAATCAAGTACCTTGAGAGACGAGGGGACTCACCTAAATCAAGCACCCTGATACGTGAGAGGCAAGGGAACTCAATCAAGCATTCCGAAGAGAAGAGAGAACTACTTCATCCACATCGTGGTTCCTGGGTTACGCTAATAATAGTTTCTTCACCAGCCACTTACATTTCTACACGTAATAATTTCCAAGTTATTCGAAATTTGCAACATGAATAAACTTTTTTGACGACAAATTTCGAATATTTACATAAAACGTAGTATTTTTTATTGTAGTAGGACCAGTCGGAAAAAATTTAATTTCATCGATTCAGGGCCATCTATCACGAATCGAAAAAAATATTTCAGACATATCATACGTACTTTGAGCCGTAGACTCCGAATCTGCAATAAAAAATAGCAATTCCTATTTAAGGTTTCGAAGTTAACCCCTGCCCCACCTACAAGGAGAGGAGGAGGGGGGCTAATTTTAGCACTAATGTATTTCCACCGCGGCATGATTAAATTTTGATTGTAACATTTTTTCGCAAAGTGCTTATTTTTAGAGATATTTGAAAGTTTCAGGTTAAAAAAATCACTCTGTATATTACATATTGAATAACCATTAGTTCTGTAGAAAATAGTTACACTATTATACATACCAACCTGAGCAGAAATGTAGCCAAAGTATGTGCTAGTGCGTTCATTTGAATGAAAAATTTTCTTTAAAAACTCGCTTTTAAGCAAAATTCTCAGTCGTGTTTTGTGGAGCTTGTTTTAAAAATGTAAGTGGTTATACGTCTTAAATTCCAGTAGTCAACTAGATTTAAAAAATGATTAACAGTTATTGGTTGGTAGATTCATTAAATTTAGTTACTACTTGTACTGAAAAAGTATCGAAAGTTAAAATTATTTTTCGAAAATTACAAAATGTCACTGATAAAAGTGTTCAGCTTACTTTATTATTATTATTTTATTATTACTTTAGAACTGGATATAATAGGTATATGTGACATATATAGTTGGTTGTCTACCCAAATATGCAAACTAATGACTTTACAAAAATTTAAATTCACCAAACGTGATTAATAAATTAAAGTCTAATTTTGCACGCCATGGGATTCCCGTCGTTGTCATTGTCCACTTAGGAACACAATTGAATAGTCAAGCACTAACTCAGTTTGCTAAAGCATGGAAATTTTGCATTGTTGCCAGCTCTCTATATCATCAACAATGTAATGGAATGACGAAAAGAACTATAGCTGTTTAAATTGCTTCTTATAGGTACTATCGAAAAACTTGTCGAATTAAATTTGATTTAAGTATTCATGGTATACGATTTACAAAAATTAGAATGATTTCTGTGTGATGAGTCTTTTGCATTTGGGTAAGCAAAACAAGTATTATAACAGAGTCCATCTGGTGGATCGCTGGTTCCATGTTTTTTTCAACGTTTCATGACCCCTAGAATATGAAACAACACGACTTCCGTTTCCGTCAGTCTGTCTGTCATCCGTCGCATGTGTGGATTTTATTAGGCAAATGGTCTCCGAAACTACTAGACCAGTTGTTGTTATATAACATCATCTTCAAATTTTGTCGAATAAATCCCATCTAAAATATGCAAAATTTTAGTCTACACTTGTGGTTTATTAATGCTTAATTTTTTTTTAGAATTACTTATGCAGGTGACTCAAAATATTAATGAATGAAGCAATCTATTTTATTAATCAAATTAAGAATGTCTCACCCAGTTTTCCCTAAAATTTGAGTATACAAAACTATTATAATTGCTAAAATGTTGATGATGTACTATAAATTTTGTAATAAAAAACTGACTTGAGACATGCATATAGGATATTTCTTTTCTTTTACTTTAACACTAGACACATCTTTATTTTAACTTGCTTGGGAATTGGTTTTAATAACCTAAAATTTTTACGATGTTGGATGCGAGAAAATTGGTTGCCGTTGGGGCAAATTTCAATTAAACATTTTATGACTTAAACTTACAGTGTACAAAACCCATAAGCGCATCGGGGTTGTCAGTTATTAAAAAAAAAAAAAAACTAATAAAGGAAAAACATTTGTCACCGTCTAGTTTTAATAATTTCATAATATGATTGTAGTGTAATAAAGTAAAACCAACTTGTATTTGTGTGAATGTAACATGTCCTAGTGATCTATTTTCAACAGTACAACTGGTTGCCTATTCAAACAAAAACACGTCATGAGTTTAATTGTATAAATTTGTTTGAAAATTATATATTCTACCGTTTCATGTAAACTTTAATGATATTTTGTTGCAGTTACTAGTAAATTCCCACGATGAGTGAGACCGTAATTGGAATTGATCTCGGAACAACGAATTCGTGTGTTTCCCTGCACATTAACAACAAACTAAAGATTCTTGAGAACAACGAAGGAGGAAGAATTACTCCTTCCTATGTATTTTTCACTGACCAGAATGCTGTTATCGTTGGACAATACGCCAAGCGAATGGCCGATGTCAAACCAGAATACGGAATTTACGGTAGGCTCTAAAGAAAATTTCCATATTTGTGCATACAAGTTAAGTGCACTCCTAAAATATAGATACACGTTGCTCACTTCTAAAAAGACCATTGTAAACTGACGTTTTTGAAAAAGTTTGTGTCTCATGTTCCCCTTCATGGTGAAATCATCAACGTCAAATCAGTAACATATATATAACTGTCCTGGTTTCATGTAATCTAATTTTTTTTCTATTTTTTCAAACCTACCATTGCTTATTTGCCACGAAGCCGAAGAAATCACAAATCATTGGTTAATTAATTTTACAAATTTTTCTGTTGCAGAAATCAAAAGATTAGTTGGCCGGAAATTTGATGATCCGTACGTAAAAAACAATCTGACTTATCTTCCGTTTCAAGTAAAAAATATATCAAATGAACCAGCGATCATAATTCAGGGTAAAAACCAAATACTCAAGAAAAGACCTCAGGATTTGTGCACTTATATTCTGGAAAAAATTAAAACCGATTCCGAGGCTAAATTAGGCCACCCAATCGACAAAGCAGTGATTACGGTCCCCGCATATTTTAACATTGCACAAAGAGAAGTGACTTTAGCGGCTGCCAGGCAAGCGGGTTTTACCGTCTTGAAGTTATTAAATGAACCAACAGCAGCCGCTCTTAGCTACTACTACGAAAACAAATGCTCCGGCGATGAGCAAAGCTATTCATTGGTCTACGATCTCGGAGGAGGTACGTTCGATGTCGCCGTTTTACGCAAAAAGGGTTCAGATATCGACATTCTTGGCGTCGATGGAGAAACACATTTGGGTGGTCACGACTTCGACAATTTACTAGTTGAACACGTGTGTCAAATTTTAATTAGTAAATATAATTACACTCCAAAGAATGACAGAAGAAATATGAGGAGATTACATAATGAGTGTGAAGAAGCGAAGAAAATCTTATCCATATGTGAAGACACAACCATAATATTGAACGCATTTATCACCACTCATAACTCAATTGAAATACCAATAACTAGAACTGAATTCGAGAACTTGGCTAAAACACTTTTTGGGCAAACAATTGAAATTGTAGATAGATGTTTGATCAAAGTCAATTTAACAAAAAACGATATTAAGGAAGTCATATTGAGCGGTGGATCTACGCGTATCCCCAAGATTCAGACAATGATCAGCGACTATTTCGACGGGAAAAAACTGTGCAAGTTTGTAAATCCAGATGAGTGCGTAGCGGAAGGAGCTGCTATTCAAGCGGCCATGCTATCAAAAAATCCAGCCCAAGAGATATCTCAAATTAAAGTTACAGATGTTACCGCTCTATCTTTGGGTATTAGTAATTTTGTAGATGCTATGACGTTTTTGATCAAACGCAATACCCCTATTCCGACAAGCAGCACAACCAAGCGTATCACGGTATACAACAACCAAACAAATATGACTTTTGATATTTATGAAGGGGAGCGGGTGGATGCTAAGAAAAATCACTTCTTGGGTGTTTTAGAAATAAGTGATTTGACACCAGCACCCCCTGGTCAGTGTGCGGTTGCAGTTACCATGAGTATTGATCAAAATGGTATCTTAACTGTGTCAGCTAGAGAAACAGTCAGTAACAAGACGAAGGATGTGAAGATTGCATATACTCGAGGGACCAGAAGTGACACTGAGGTTCGGAATGCGGTAGTTGACGCCAGGGAGAATCAGGTAGAAGATGAAAGATTTAATAAATTTGCCGAAGTTAAAGGTTACTTAATTAAATATTGTGTAAGATCCATGTATAATTTTGAACAAAAGGGACTTACAATGACATATAAAGAAGCTTATGATAAGTGTGCTGAGGCAGTGAAGACATCGAAAAATTTGGGAGTTGAAGACGAGCAAGAGATTACGAAATTAAAAAACGAACTTGTGTCATTGTGCAGTCCTATTGAGAAGAAATACAAGTTTGTGAACATGCCATAAACAACATTAGAAAAAAAATGCTATTACGTAACCAATATACAATTTTACTCAGTGTTTTTTTATTATCTCGTACATTTATTATACATTTTTGGACTAGATTCGTTCACACCATCATGTTGACCAGACGTGTTCTTAAGTGCAGCGATTTTTTTAAGACGAGATTTACGTTATTCTGCAATGCTCTAATATTACAGTGCCAAATTCGTAGATATTTTCGACAAAAACTTTAATTTTTGGTTTACTATCCTTGAAGAACTATCAAAGGTTAGTATTGCAGCTAGATAACGGTAAATGCCGTGTCATTACTTACGAATATAAGTGACACAAGTAGTCTTAAATAGAAACTTTGATGTACATCCCTTTACCGTTGAAAAAATGGATATCAACATTTTGGTACTCGATTTAAGGACAGGGCAAATTCGTGTTTCTTCTATAGATCATAGGGTATAAACTTAGTGGGTGCCAAACCATCCGTGACGTACGTTACCGAAACATCCTGACATTCAAATAATACATAAATTAGGTTTATTTTAATATTCCAGGTGAAATATTTTTCAAGCAACTCGTTTTAATTACATAAAGCACAACGGATGTTTCACTGATAAGTTAGTAGATTTGTATTGTGTAACGGGTTTTTATTTAATTTTAAATTCGTTAACATTAAAAGAAAGAACGCGCCTATCACGCGTGGTGTTGGTGGGAGCTATCGGAAAAACGGAACAGAAAAACAGGAGATACGAACGGAGGGGGCATCGGGGCTGGGGCGGAGTGAGGAGCTCGGGAAGGAGTAGCCCACAACCTGGCACCCAACGTCTACGGATATCAGTGACGGCACCTGAGAACCGATTCCCTCCCAGGAAGAGTTAGGAGCCCCCGCCGCCTACGCCCAAGTGAAAAGGTGCCCTTCCGCATTTTAACATAGTGATTGGCGTTTCGTATGTAATTAAGTTAGCAATAGAATTTGTCTTAAAACCCGTAAACGCAGTTTTATTGGGCTCGGGTTAAAACCCACTTCATGCAATAATAATTTGTTACATTTCTTTAAACCCTGTAAGAGGGTTACAATTAAATGAACATCGTCGTGCAACGTTGAGGAAGAAACTATGAGTTTTTGAAATATCCACTCGGTTTAAAATCTTGCTCTGTGGACTCGATGCTATTTGAAGAAGATTCAGTAACACGAGCGTAAGTAAAGGAAGTATTGTACATTGATTAAATACATATAGATAGACCCATGCTATTGTTTGGAGCGAACAGGCCAACGGCCGGCGAACAAGAGATGGCGCACCAACAGTCGGCCGTCAAACGCCGGCGAAAAGCTTGGACACCAATCGCGCGCGTAGATAACCCAAATCGCAGCAACAATACATTTAATAAAGCTACCACTCGACAGAGGGCGACGAAAACAATGTGTAAAAATCTCATAGTAACCATTTATATAATTTGCAACGTTGCCAGATGAGCCTAGCACAACTTTGCCGTTATTTCTAGTCGATTAGATTTTATTTCGTTTAAAAGTTTCTGGTGAATAAATGGAATTATTATAATGAATAAACAATACAAACAAATTATTACTTGTTATTTTAAATACTTGTTAGTGTTGATGAAAACATAAATGGTAATTAAAGTTATTCTAAATACGGTCCGGTCCGGTAGCTCAAATTTTACAGTACGAGTGATATGTTTCAGGACGAGTAGGTAGCCGAGTCTTTAATTTCGAAACGAGTACTGCGAAAAGAGTTACCGGACGTATGTTGTTATGTATTTTATTTCATACTGTCAACGTACTTTTTTATTCGATAATATTATTATTATTTTGAGAAAAAATCCAAATCGAGTCACTTTTTCTGACATCGTTAGCAACCGCTCTTTGGTAAATGTTTTAATTTGTTTATTCGTGCAAATCAGCATCATATGTTTAAACACATAGTACTTATAACACTTTACAGGACTTATTGTTTTGTATAATCCGACTCGATGGAGGAATGTTTTGTGCAATCCGTCTCGAAGGACCAATGTTTGTGCAACTCGGCTCGTCCTACCAGTATTTTTTGTAATCTGGTTGATACGACAATGTGATACCGAATTGTACTTTGATATTGCTCCAAGGACCTTTGTTTTCTTGCGTGCGAGATAATAGACAGCGTTCGGTTTCGATGTTTAATACAGGACGGTTACAGAAATACTAAATTTACATTTGTATTTACAATAACAGGTAAAGCAAAAGAGACCCAAAAGGGTCAGTGGCCGCTTCCGGAAATGGAACACTTGTCCTTTTTGGCTCAATTTTATCGGACTTGTCCGTTTTTTTGATTTTACCGGAATCGTTCGATCCAGTAAAACGTCAAACTTGACATAGTATAAGGTAAAATAAATAAATTTTATTCAATTTTGACATGTAAACAAACGTTTATTTTGCCGTCAGTAGGCCACTAAAGCTTTGGTTTATTCGGTAGCACCATAAAATTTTTAAACCGCTAGCGAAATAAAATTTTTATTTTGCTGTTTTAAAACCATGGTTACCATTTCTGTAATTTCTCCAATGCCTTGCTGCTCTTTCCATCTAAGGAACTTTTGATACACTTTCTGATTTGCTCTTTTTTGGGAGCAAGTTTTGCCGTTGGAATCTTGCATGATTTTGCAATTTTTCGATAATTTTAGTTTGCTTAAAATAAACAAACACCGTCGCCAGAGTCACATACTACACACACACACCTGATATTGTAACCTAAATTCTACGCATATAAAACTTTTATTTGGTCGCTGTCAATTCTGACGTTTCTCGAATGTGAACTTTGAATCACCAATTTTTTCACAATTTGGGACTTGGGGTTGTCAAAATTGAATAAAAGTTTGTATTACACTCGCGGTTAAAATGAATGTGTAACTCGTGGTCTTAAGGCGCTCGCGGCATACGCCGCTCTCGCCTTAAACTGGCCGCTCATTAAACATTCACTTTAACCGCTTGTATAATAAATAACTATTATGATGTAAATACAATTGAGTATATCGATAATTCGCTACTGAAAATTTATTGAAATATAATTTGTGTTAAAAAAAGATTTTTGTGGTTTTATGGTTTATTAACATAATTTACTTATTTGAAATTAAATATTTTTAATACATAGCACAAGTTCTTGATATTCTTTATTTTTATTCCAAGTAATAATTGTGTTTCCTTTAGTTTTAATCAAGAAAATTTTTCGGTTATTATCTAACATACTTTTGTACATTAAGAAACTCCATTCCACGTCACAGGACGTTACAGGACAATATTTAAATAAATAAAGAAGTCGTTTTATGTGTTTTAAAATTCACTCTGATTTCCGGACTTTAGACTTTTTGGTGTTTCACTTCGGCACAAGAACTAGTCGTATCTCAAAGAAAACAAACAGTGGAATATACCGTATTGTACCTATATTTCATAGTAAAAATGTCTAAATTTTTTTATGAAGAGACAGACTGTTCTAGGAAACTTTACTAAATCTTTTCATTTACGAGCTATTGAAAGTCCGCCGGTCTCACTGATACTTCTTACTTGGCTCCTACGAATGAAGCGAAAAATGCACAGATTGAAAATATAGTAAATGGGGTAGTATGTATGCGTGATATGTCGTTAGACATTAGGTATTTTGCAAATAAAATTTATTTCATTGAAAACAGAAACAATAAAAAACATATCTGTACAAGTTTGGAATCGATATGGCCAGTTGTTTAGAATATGCAAATATGCTTTTGTTCGTATTTACAATTATTACGAAACAGGTTATCAAATAATCTATTTTCACATGGCGAGACTTTCAAGCGGCCGAAGAATTAAAAACCATAAATTTTCATTGAAGAAACAAACTCTTCCAAGAAAATTACCAAATCTTTTAGTTTACGCACTATTGGACGAGCACTCCTTAAAACGGTCAGTATACCTAATCGCATTATTCCATTGATACCTACCTACCGAAAACGTTGCCAGATGAGCCTAACACAAATTTGCGGATATTTCTCGTCAACCAGATATTATTTCATTTAGAAGTTTCTGGTAAATAAATGGGATTATTGTAATGAACATATAAAACAAATAAATTGTGATTATTATTTGTTGTTTTAACCCATTAGACGCTTATAGGCTTATAAGCATACTTTTCTTGAAAAATCGGTAATAAATTCAGTGAAACATCTGTGTGCCTTAATTCCTATTGGTAAACTGGGATTTTGAATAGAGGTCGCAGGAAAATTTTGTATGGTTTTATGGTTTATTTACATAATTTTCTTATTTACAATGAATGTTTTTGATATATAATACAAGTTCTTGATATTATTTATTTTAATTACATTTAATAAACCATAAAACCACAAAAATCTTTTTTTAACACAAATTATATTTCAATAAATTTTCAGTAGCGAATTATTATCGATACACTTAATTGTATTTACATCATAAAATTTATTTATTTTACTTCATACTATGTCAAGTTTGACGTTTTACTGGATCGAACTATTCCGGTAAAATAAAAAAAACGGACAAGTCCGATAAAATTGAGCCAAAAACACGGAGGTAGAAGAGACACTCTTCTACCTCCGTGGCCAAAAAGGACAAGTCTTCCATTTCCGGAAGCGGCCACTGACCCTTTTGGGTCTCTTTTGCTTTACCTGTTATTGTAAATACAAATGTAAATTTAGTACTTCTGTAACCGTCCTGTATTAAACATCGAAACCGAACGCTGTCTATTATCTCGCACGCAAGAAAACAAAGGTCCTTGGAGCAATATCAAAGTACAATTCGGTATCACATTGTCGTATCAACCAGATTACAAAAAATACTGGTAGGACGAGCCGAGTTGCACAAACATTGGTCCTTCGAGACGGATTGCACAAAACATTCGTCCATCGAGTCGGATTATACAAAACAATAAGTCCTGTAAAGTGTTATAAGTACTATGTGTTTAAACATATGATGCTGATTTGCACGAATAAACAAATTAAAACATTTACCAAAGAGCGGTTGCTAACGATGTCAGAAAAAGTGACTCGATTTGGATTTTTTCTCAAAATAAT